TCTACCTCTTTAATTTGTCGTTGTTTGCCTTTGGCTTGAACACTCATGACAGGGAGCTCACTGTTTCTAAAGGCAGCTCATTCCATCGATAGTCAACTCAAATGAATAGAATGTTCTCTCGTATGGTGAATTTTAAATATTACACTCTGTATCTTCCACCCATTAATCTTAGCACTGCCCTTTGAAGACATACAAAATAAACTCACATTTTTTTTTCCCTGTGTAGCTACCAGATCCTCCTAAGTTTTCTCTTCTCAGGGAAAGCACTTGGAATCCTCCAGCCACTTCTCTAAGCAGAATTTCCAGACCCATCACCAGCCATGTGCCCTGCATCTGGGTCTGTGCCAGGTCTTTCAGGTTCCTTGTGCTGTGCCCCACCTGAACCATCCAGCACTCTCTTGAAATGGTGGCTGTCTGCTTCTTCAAGGGCCCCATGTCACAGATAGAGCCTGGGAGCTCAATGGTTGGTGGGACAGCTTCAGCTCGCTATTAATGCATGTGGCGCCTCTGTCCATCTGAATGTTCACTTTTTTTCTTTTTTTAGAATTTCCATAAAATACACATAACATAAAATTTAGCATTTTAACCATTTTTAAGTGTACAGTTCAGTGGCATTACGTACATTCACATTGTTATGCAATCATGGCCACCATTTACCTTCAGAACTTTTTTCATTTTGGACAACTGAAATTCCACACCCATTGAACAATCGATTCCCCCTTCTCTTTTCTCCCAGTCCCTGGCAACCACCATTTCAGTTTGTTTCTATGAATTTGACTACTCTAGGGACCTCATACAAGTGGAATCGCACAATATTCGTCTTTTTGTGAGTGACTTATTTCACTTAGCATAATGTCCTCAAGGTTCATCCAGTGTAGAGCAGGTGTCAGAGTTTCCTTCCTTCTTAAGACTGAATACTGTAGAACTATGTGGATGTACCATAATTTTTATCCGTTTATCTGTGGATGGACACTTGGGTTGCTTCCATCTTTTACTTATGGTGAATCATGCTGCTGTGAACATGGGTATACACATATCTGTTCAAGTCCCTGCTTCCAATTATTTTGGTTACATACCCAGAGGTGGAATTGAAATTGCTAACCTTTTGTGCTTGTTGCTGATTGATGGGATTTTCCCAACCCTGTATTTGTGAATTTCACTTTTTGATCCCACGTTCCTATAGAACCACTGTCTCTACAAATTGTTTGCATCATCTCAACCTGTTGAGCTCATGAAGCCCGTTGATGCTCAAGTATCATACAACACAGTAGTGATCATTTACGTCATTACCTCTACATCCGATTAACTTGCAAGACTCTGTGCCAAGCTCAAAGTTTGTTTCTCAGAAAGCATGGTCACCAGTTCACAAATTATGTCGGTTAGAGGGAACACTGATGCAGGAAGCAGAAAGGAGCCATGGCCTCTTCCCCCACTCTCTTCACTCCCCTACTCCTACTCCCCTTGTTCCCCTCTTTTGTATCTCTGTACTCTTCTCTGAGTTTTCTTCCATATTCCCATTCTCTTCTAAAACATGCTTGGAGATAGCGTGTGGCATGCTAGGTGGGGGTGAGTCAGCAGAAATGTCAGCCTGTATGGTACCTTTAATCTGTGTTGGGAGGTCCAGAGAGAAGTAGCTAGTCAGCAGTGAGGTACACACAAATCATGTGGGGTAAAGATTTCAAACTTTAAAAGAAAAAAATCTAACATTTCTGAGATTGCTAACTTCTTTGAAGACAGGAGCATCTGTCTAGGGCAGTGGCCCAGGACGAGGAAGGCAGGCAGCCAACCTGTATTATCGGGATTCCTGTCAACTCAGAGAGCCAGAACCACAGAAGTCTTTGCATTTCCCAGCCCCACATCCAGGCTCCACTCAACCTATCCTGCCCTGCAGGATCGGATCTATGCCCCCATCAGACCACTTCCATGATATTTCCAGTTTCTACTTGTAGTCTGAGGATCACATGATTTAAAAATATTTGGTATCCTTGGCCTAGTTGTGATGTAGAACTGGGACAGAGTCTCAGCCAGAGAAGTGAACTATGGAGAAAATGGCAAATTTCTCGGAAGAAAACTTCTAATAATAATTGTTAAAATTCCATGTAGTCAAGATGCATGTTGTTCTAGTTATCTATTATTGTATAACAAGCTAGCCAAAATCTCAATGGCTTAAGACAGCCATCTGATGATACCTCAGGATTCAGGCAGAGCTCAGCTGGGAGTTCTGTTCCTGGGTAGATAGACAGAGGTAAGATACCCGGTGGCATTCAGCAGGTGGATGCCCTGGTTTGAGAGTTGAAGATGGCTGCACTCATCTATCTGGTGTCTTGGTGAGAATAAGGAAGCTGGGCTCCACTAGGCTGTCAGTTGAAACACCTACATGTGGCCTCGCCAGCATGGCAGCCTCAAGTTAATCAGACATCTTATGTGATGGCTCAGGGCTCCAAGAGAGGAGTGTTGCAGTGAACAAAGTTGGAGGCTGCTGGCCTTTTATCATCTAGCCTTGGAAATTGCCTAGTATCATCTCTGATATGCTCTGTTGGTTGAAGTAGTCACAAGTTTCAAGGATAGGGGACACAAACCCTACCTTTTGGTGAGGGACTGTCAAAGAATTTGCGACCATATTTCAAAGCTGCCATATACATGTATGTATATTTGAGTGTGATGATATAACCACACCTACACCTGCAGTTCATCACAAGTACCCCACACAATCTGGCATTCAAAGGGTTGTATGGCTTGGGAAGAGGAACTCACATCCTGTGGGGGCATCAGACGTTTCATGAGTGAGCCAGGTCCTGAAGGATATAAACTATGTTACAGATGAAGATGGAAGAGGAACTGTCCAAGCAGCAGGAATCAGGTGAGCAGAGACATAGGGTGAAAAATGCTCATGAGAGGCAGGAGGAGAATTCTGAGGGTCTGCTACATCGGCGGGTAGCCTCAGAAATGAAGAGGTCTTTGAACAGGGCAAATAGGCAAAGATCAAGAATAGGATAGGGCAAGCAAGGGTTACAGAGCAGGACAGGGAAGGGCATTGCAGGATGGAGACTTGAGGGAGAAGGAGGAATCCAAGTCCTAAAAGAGTAGGGCCCTTGCTGATGGGGGAGGGTTCCCAGAGGCGGAAGGACTGTGAGTGGTGAGTGCTTCCTTCCACCTTGAAAATAAGGAGGTGCATTTTTCCTTGGGGGTAAGAGCAAAAGGAAGAAATGGATTAGTGATGAGTAAATTCTGAAGTACAGAGAAGTGAAGTGGAGGGCTGGCTTCAATCTTTTGAGTAATGTAGGAGGTAAGGCTATTGACTAAAAGTGAAAAATCACTGATACATATGTTAGACATGTGCATGAGTTTCTATGAAAATACAAAATATGACTTGTTTAGAGAACTTCAGTAAAGTAGACAAATGTTCAGGTGGGTGTTGGAATGATTAATTGTACAATTCAGTTTGTTTGCTCTAAATGTTTTTCCTGATTACAAAAATAATATATATCCACTGTAGAAAATTTGAAAAATATTAAAAGGTACAAGAAAGGAAAGTCATCTATATACTCCACTATTACCCAAAGACAACTGCCAGGAATTAGTTTTTTAACTAGGAATTAGTTGATTAATAATGCAGATGTCGTTTTATTTTGTAACAAAATACAAATATTTTACATATCTGAGACTCTACACAGTTTTGCTTCAATAGTCTTTAGACACATCTTTAATGTGTTTAATGTCTATGTGGTATCCATGCTGTAGAGATGACATAACTTATTTAACCATTCTCTATTTTGGAATATTTAGATTGTTCTGAGTCTTCATTATTTCATCTCTACTGTGTGTGTGTGTGTGTGTGTCTCACATGTGTATGCACTATGTTATACAACTACATGCATGTATATATAGATACGTCTATGAACAGTCTTTGTAAGTAAGTGTCTGTTTTTTTCTTAGGACATATCACTGAATCAGAACAAATAAACACTTTCAAGGTTCTTGAGACGTATTGCTAAACTGCCTTTCCAGAAAGGGTGTACCAGTTTTATGTTCATCCACAATCAGGCAGCTCGCCGACCCTTGTCCACATTTTTGTCACTTTAAAAAGAAGTGACACTTGGGAAAGCTCAGTTTCTTCTGGTAGTTGACACATTTGGGATGTTTTTTCATCATAAAACCTAAGGTCACGTTTTAGAAAATTTGAACTCAGAAATAGGACTTCTCTGAGACTCTCCTTTTCCCTCAAGTCCTCTTTGTGAGGGGGATGGGTGGGAGAGAGGAGACTGATTCAAGGTGCCTTCCAACTCCGAGGTTCTGGTATTTTCACCATCATTACTGGCACCAGATCGCTCAATCCTTAGGCCAATAAGACAAAGAAGGAAAGTATTTCAGCGCTTGCTGTTTTGTAATAGTGGCTTCGATGAGGAGAAAATAAGTGGGAAACAGGAGTAGCTCGGACAGGGGGCTTGGACTGGCAGCGCATTGCCCAAAGGCGGCCCCCACTACACGCGCGCGATCTCTCTCTCTCTCTCTCACACACACACACACACACACACTCACACACACACACGCCGCGCGCTCTCCGCTCGAGGTTGGCTCCCGGACCCAAGGAGGGAGGGAGCGGGAGGAGGTGGTGGCGGTCGGG